AAGCAGGGAGCGCAGGCCATGGGGCAGGGGACGGGCCACTTTTCCCCCACATGCAGCACCAGCTCCTTCCCTGCCGGCAAGCAGGGGGTCGGGGCTGTGCTCTGCCCCCTGCCCGTACTGCAGGGCTGGGGGGGCACTGGGAGTGCGTGGGCGCTGGAGCACAGGGCCCGCACCGGTGTCCCACAGCCAGTGCCAGCAGGGCCCAGAGCAGGGCAGCAGGGGTACAGGGTCCCAGCCAGCAGGGGCTCTATGGAGCTGGGCCAGCTCCCCCCTCTCCCTGCTGGTGCAGCTCAGCCTGCCTCCACAGACCCCTGCCAGCCTGCACCCCGCTCTGCGCCCCACCGGTGCTGCCCTGGGACATTGGTCCCAAGACATTGCAACATTGGTTCCAAGATGGTGACCAGGGGACAGGGCACCTGTCAAAGGGCGGGGCTACCCATGCAGCCCTTGACAGCTTGCCAAAACTAGGTAAGCGGCTCTCTGCCTGAAATAATTGCCCGCCCTGCTTTGGCCCATCAAGCCCAGCTGGCATATAAGCAACCTGCCAATTATTCAAAAAGCATTACCTGGTGAGAAACGTTGAATCTAATACTGTTTTGTATTACATTTCTAACCTAGTAACTTAGACTAAGGAAACTTGGTCCTGAAGCAGACTTGGTGGCAAAACCTGCCTCAGAGGAACTTAGACCCTCCCCACAGTTTCACAAGGGAGAAAAAGAAAAATTAACTACATTGTAGCATCCTTTTCTCTTCCCATGTTTCTGGTCTCCCTTTGGAGTATTGTTTGCTCATGGTGCGAAGACAGAAATCTCTACTGCCCTTCTGCCCACAGAACATGCGATGGTGTATCTGACACACCAAAGGAAAGGACATAAGAGTCCTACTGACAGCATGGCTATGCGTCTTCCTACATCAGTAAGATGGTAGCAGGACTTCATGACTCCTGGACATTGCCCAAAACTTTCAAACTGACTGAAACAGAAGCTCATCTGAGAAAGTCAATGGATGTATGAAGGAATGGGATGATAACCGTGAGAAGTAATGGCATTAAAAACAATATTTTTGTTGCGAGTCAGTTATAATGCAAAGAAGCAAGAGGAAGATTACTTTGTAACAGATGCCCAGGTCGTCTTTAGTCGATAGATGGAGGTGGACTGCAGTGCTGAAACAATGGCCCTCAAGGAGGAAAAATTCTTCAGGATCCTACATTCCTGTAAAGGGAGTGATTAAAAAACAGAGGAGAGTTAAATATCAATATTACAAGCAGGCTGGCGATTTCCTGTTTCACTGGTATCACAGCTGTTACAAATTCTTACTACTAAATAGGCAGCTGTACAAATATTGAGCATCAAAAATTTGCTCCCCTCACTCTCCCCAGCCATCAAAACACTTTATAGGTTTTGGCACTTACATCTTGTTTTCCTCACTTTCTTATATTTTTTGTGGTGGTATTGCAGTTTTATAGTTTCCAGCTCTCCTAGTAAAAATACTAGTGGAGGTGGGTCTCTGAAGCTAAGCTAAGGAAAAGCAATTTTTTTCCTATAAAATAGAGCTTTTTATTTACCACCTTTCCCCTGCTATAGGAAAGTTGGAGGGTACACCTCCTTACCAGTGGTATTTAAAATGTTAAAGCTCTATAAGCGAAGAATTAAAAATACACACAAAGGAACAACCTATCAATTAGACAGGTGCATCATTTAATGGAAGAGCTCTCTAATATCTCTAAGTGAATCTGTCTATCAAGACCTGAGAAATCTTCTAATGTGTGATCACAATACATGCTTGGAATAATTATAGTGGAGACATACATGGACAAGTAATATTGAGAAGTGTTTTGGATGCTGCGAGTATTTGGGCCTCCTTAAAAAACATTTGAAATGAGGGGCCTAGATTCTGATGGGAGCAGATGGAAACAAGACAGAAAAAGCATATTATGAAGCAACCAATGGACTCATGCAAGGGCCCACAGCGCATCAGGGGTTCATGGACCAGAACTTAAGAACCACTGATTAAGGTAAGGCTTGACAAACCCTCAGACACAAATACCTGTGTGCACAAGTATGGAAGTCAACATATGAGGATGCCATTTTTACATGGCATTGGAAACATGCTAAATATGAATCTAAGCCAGTAAACACTCAGGGATCTGATCATAAGCTATGTCCAGGATACTCTATGGTGTACAAATAAAACTGATTTTTTGGCATCCACTTTACCATCTATTTATGTGACCGAAGAAAGATAAAGTAAAATTAAACCTTTATATGACTAACTTTATTGGCAAGAGCTCTAATTAAATTGACAGTACCCATCACAAAAGTAACAGTATTCATGTGTATGTTTGTGTGACGGAGTTATCTGCAATCTTAGACATTTTGCTTTAAAAATTTGACTTATAATAACTAGCAGCAGACAGCAGCAGAACAACTACTGCTTCTATCAGGATAAGGTTTGTCAAATATTGGTATTAGAAGATTCGGGATAGATTCAGACCATCAGTTGACTTTGGGGTCAGATCTAATGGCACCAAAATCTTAAGAATTATCCTTGCAACACATCTGCTATCTTAGACCAAAATATCAAAACAGCTTTTCTCATGAGATGTCAGCAAGAGCCAAATGAGAAAACAGGTCTCTTCCCACCACAAATGGTTTGAGTCCAGAAACTTCAATTTAATCCCCTACCTACTGCCTCAAAATACATACAAGGTTTTTGAAAGGAGGTTAGGTTAGACTTATTTTGAGTTAACAGCATCCACTACATTTAAAGAGTACACCAGGTTTTCTCTTATGCATTCATGTTTCCAGAGGTTTATTTAATTTGCTACAGGCTAAACTTTAGCTAATGATATTTTCTTCTGCCAGAGGTATTTTTAGATTCCTTTATTCTCTTTTAAGTAACTCTTAAAAAAAATCAGTAACTTTATAGTACATGAAATACTCAGAATAACCTTGATTTTGAAGATGAAGCTTAACAGGTGATTAATGATTTCTTTTTTTCTTTTTAAAGCAAATATTTTGTGTAGAAAATTGGCTGCTACTGCTCAGTAACTTTAGATTTTAGGTAGAGTCTGAAGGGCTGACAGTAAAGAAAAACAATTTGATTTATAAACTGATGAGCCTGAATCTGAAGATCATGGACAGACAACAAGCATGGAGCCCCATGGCCCTATTTCTAGAATCATTTGTCACTGAATAACAGCTCTGTAATGGGCAGATATTTTTAAATGGAGATACCTAAATATGAAAATCAAGTTTGTGCCTGTGAAACAAGCAATGTCCTATAGAACTAAGTAACTGTGTGTGTAACTGGTCATTCTACATGTGCAATTATTTGGCTGTGTGCACACAATGTATGTTTCATGGGCTCAGGGAGGACTGGAATATTTAATTATGTATATGAAATTAGTAGGATGAATAGTATTGGATCAACAGGGCTGAGCTGACAGATCTATCCCCAGGATCAAGTAATATGTTGCAAGGGACTGGTCAGATTTCCTCTGACATCCCACTACTCTCCTATTGTGTCCTAAGGTAACTTTCATGGCCTGTACAATATTTGATTTCTCTGCTGTGCTTCCTAACAACAGTGCTAGATTTTCATGACTGTATGTGCACCCCAGAGAAGTTTACTAAAACTCAAGAATGAACCCACCTAATCCTTTACATATTATTTATCAAAGAGCTACCATATAACAATGAAAGTGAGATAACCGGAAATGCCAAAAAGGCAGAAGACTCTGCTTCCTCATAATGAGTTCCCTGAACCTTGCTGTCCCACCAGTTCAGGTGCCAAGACTAATAATTTTGACCCCAGAAGCATAAAAACACATTCTCAAATTTAGAAGGCCCAATAATCAGGTCTTATTTTATTACTATTACTGTTTTTGCACTTCTTTGCAAGAATGCATGCTATTCTTTAATATACAGGTGCTGATGTTATGTAAATTCTAGAGGTGCAGTGATACATTTGTCTGATATTGGCCCGGTACCGATAAAAAGAAAATTGTCTATATTGGATATGGGCCTGATGGGGCCAATAATTTGGCCAATAAATGCCCGTGCTGTGTGCAGCCACAACATGACCCAGAGCAGAGCTGGCAGCATAAAGAGCTGCCTCCAGCTGGTAAGTTGGAAAGGGAGGGAAAGGGAAGGGGTGTGGGGGGCAGATCAATGCCCCCCGCAATGAGGGAGGGGGAAGGCAGGAGGGCGCGGGATGGAGACACAGCTCATGGGGTGGGGGCAACTCCCACTGCTGCTTGCACCCCGGGAGGGTGGGGATGGGGGGACATGTGCCCCCAGATCTGTAGGGCATTGAGCAGGTGGCAGCTGTAGGGTAGAGCTGGAGCCGGAGTCGGCACTGCGTGGGGCTTTTCTTGCCGGGGGATGGGCTCGGAGGAGGCTCCAGCAGCACTGGGAGGAGGCTACAACCACACCAGATTTCAGCGATGGCTTTTCCCAGTGCTTGGGTGGACACGGGGTGTTCAGCTGGGGCTGCGCCGGGTAGTGGCACGGGGCTGGGAGCGCAGCTGCAGTGAAATTTGGGGTGACCTGCTCCCCCACACCCCTTCCCTCCCCCGTCCCCTTCCACCACATCAGACTTACCACCTGGAGGCAGCTGTATCAGATATCAGATCAGTATTAGCCGATATGCCTCCTTAAATGTTGGCTATCAGTATCAGCCCCCAAAACCTCTGTTGGTGCATCCCTAGTAAATTCTACAATATTCTTTAAAAAAATCTGTCTCAATACCAACAGCCAATGAGCAGAGTTCAGGAAAGGTTTAAAAATGGAAGATAACATCTAAAAACTTAGGAAACTAGCGTTACATAAGGAACTTGAGCAAAATGTTTTCATGCCAAGAATAAGAAACATATGGAATCAGTTAAAAGGGAAAGCAGTTGAAGCAAAGACTAAAATGAAGTTCAAGAGACACCTGGGGCATGGTGAAAAAGCAGAAAAAAATAGGATTAAGATGAACCAAAGAAAGGGCAGGGATCTTTAGCCAGATGGCCTTTTCTTTTAACATTTTTCTGTTCTTTTGGGTACACAAATGACTGTGCATATCCAGTGAAAACAAGGTTACTCAGAGAGCATAGAGTTCATTGTCATGGATCATTCAAAACAGCATGAATTATTAAATATCTTAATATCATGAAATATTATTAAAGGTAATTAAGTTTTCAGCTTTTCCTTTCAAAGACTTGTTTTATTAGAAGTGAATTATTTTTTGTGTCTGTAGTCATTTCCCTAAATCTAACTTATGCTTTACTTCTAAATGTGTCCATATTTAAGAACAAAAAATATTCAATTTGGGACTCTCTTATTCAGAATTCAATTTTATGGGGTTTCTAAATTTGGGAAAGGGAAAAAAGAGATAGTTGTTAAAGATGAATTGCTTCTGTGGAACTTTGTGTATTTGGAGTCTTTCAAAATAGTTTTCATTTGCCTCAAATGCCCAGTTTTCAGTTTGAAACAAAATACAAGCTGAGTTAAAGCAAAGGACAAAGGACCATTTTTTTTCTGCTATTGGCCATATTTCCTTGTATTAAAATATTCAAAAGCACTTTGAAAGGTTGTTTTTAAACTTTCTTCCCTGCCAAGTTAGAGAGAAAATTCTAAATAGCTAATTCTGAGAACATTTAACAGGTTGTTTCTGAATCATCATGAAGGTTTACTTAGAAGTTATAAAGCAGGATGAGGAATGCACTCTATCAGAAGGTGCCTGAATCAGTTGGGAACTAAACAGGCCAAAAGACAACAAGAACCTCTCTGGAGAACCTACCTCAAATTGATAAATCAACCAAATTATCATAAAATCATAGAAAATTAGGGTTGAAAGGGACCTCAGGAGGTCATCTAGTCCACCCTCCTGCTCAAAGCAGGACCATCCCCAACTAGATCATCCCAGCCAAAGCTTTGTCTAGCTGGGTTTTCAAACCTCTAAGGATGGAGCTTCTACCACCTCTTTGGGTAACCTGTTCCAGTGTTTTACTAGTTTCATATTGAGAAAATTCTTCGTAATATCTAACCTAAACTTCCTTTGATGCAATTTGAGACCATTGCTCCTTGTTCTGTCATATGCCACCACTGAGAACAGTCTAGCTCCATCCTCTTTTGAAGCCCTCTTCAGGTAGTTGAAGGCTGCTATTAAATCCCCTCTCAGTCTCCTCGTCTCTAGACTATATAAGCCCAGTTCCCTAAGTCTTTCCTCATAAGTCATGTCCCCCATAAGTCATGTCCCTTACCATTTTTGTTGCCCTCCACTGGACTCTCTCCAATTTGTCCACAAATCAGCTTATCAGCTAAAGATGTACAAGAGGCCACAAAGATGAGCACGTGTCCTCTGTACTTGTGATTGTTTGAATGCATGCAAGCAAAACCCTTATTTGAGGGAACAAATGGGCACTATGGAATTACATGCACAGATGGGTTTTGTGGGCATGACAAATGTGTCATTTCTGTTCTTGTATCACATTTCCTTGAAACCATGGTAAAATTCCAACTATACTGGTCAACATCATCCAGTAATTAACACATTGGTCTACATTATCCAATAACTAAAACTGTGAGAAAAGGTTATAATTACTATTTTATTGATGAGGAAACTAAGTCAGAGATGTGTTGTACCTTGGCCCAAGCCACTAAGACAATCAGTGCCAAAAATAACCATGATTAAAACTTCATGGGTCTGTGAGGAAAGCAGTAGACCTCCCTCTCTCATTTAAACACCACAAAAAAACAAACATTAACTGAAAAACCCAGAATAAATGTTTTACTTGTGCAATATTGATCCACTTCTCAATGATCTTGGCTCTGTGCTGTGGCTTGAGTTCTTTGTCTTTCAGGATGGTTTTGATGACACAGTTTGTAACTGCATTAAACTGGGAGATGGTGGCTCTGATAGTGGATGCCAAGTGCTTGTATTCTTTCTTATCCCTCTGAGACCAGATGCAACCCAAACAGTGGTGGGGCACTACTTTCTTAAAGAGTTCCTAAAATTGGACAGAAGAATACAAATGAACAAGCCTCTCCTAGATTTCTATTATCAACATATATGAATACACATTTTTCTATACTTTGGATTTAACACTGATACTGTATTAATAGATAAATACTTTGTTTTTTTCTGACATAAAATTTACTTTGTATTGCTTTATATAGACTTTAATGAATTTATTGCTGATTAGAAGAACACATACAACTTCCAGAAATTGCATATACAGGGTAAATATACCTGAATTTGTATCAATATATCTGCTGATGTGATTGATGCACAGAGGAGCATGATCATAGTAGCTATATTTATGCAATGTAGTTTCATAAACTAAAGATGCTTATAAGTGCAATATAATCATGACAGAAAGCATCTTATAAGATGTTAAATAGATACAATGGAGTATCTGAACTTTGCAAAAAGGACATGATGTAGTAATATATTAATTTACATGTTTTTTAAAACCTGTCACCCAAAAGAAACAATCTGATTGGCTGAAGTGGGGGATCAGTACTGCTGCCTGATAAGTAGCTAGCAGTGTTTTGGAATACAAGCAGTTTTCTTTCTCCCTGAAACCATATAGTACTTACTGCATCCATATACGTTAGCTGCTCTGCCACAAGATCTTCTGAGAAAAAAGAGAGCTCTTGTGTCCCATCAATTTCTATTTCCTCATCAACATCAAGGCTGAAAATGAAGGTGCTATGAAATCCATCTGCGGAAAACATAATATAACTTAATAAAATACACACGATGAACAGTAAATTAAAGCCACTGTCTATCATCATCATCATGTTAGAGCCTTGCGGTCCTAACAGTGTTCAGGACTATACTATGTTAGGGACTATAGTCATGTGGTTTATAATCTGAGAAACAAACAAAAAAAATGCACATTAGCCTGTCTTAGTGCACATTAACTAAAGAGTATGGGATACTTTTTCACATGTTCTGGGGGTTGGGGCGCTTTAGATCCGACTAAAGCACCACAGCGTCTTATGTATCAGTGTCTCCATGCTTCAAAATGGTAGTGGGGGAACTTGAACTAAAGCTCATTAGATGAGCTTTAATTCAAGTGTCCCCGCTGCCATTTTGAAGCACGGGGACACTGATACATGAGGCATGGGAGGCTGCTGAAGCACGGTAATTACCACGCTCCACCAGACTTGATTAATTGTCTCTGCTCCAACACACTGTAGTTACAGCACGTTGAAGCAACCTCCCAGCACGTCTACAGGCACCTGTGGTTTTTAAGTAACGCTTAATGTCCATTAGCTTATTTTAATGTGCATTGACTAACTAGCATGTTTTTAGTTATGCTTTAATGCACATTAAAATAGGCTAATGTGCATTAAAGTGCATGTGTAGACATGCCTACTGTGTCACAAATTAATTGCAATAGGAAATCCCTGAATTCAGTTTATATCTCCCGTGTAGAAAGGTAGGAGTGTCAGGCATTTTTTTAGCACCATCCTCCCCTTTGTATGGCTAAATAGCTATACTTTAATCTTATATGGATTGTACTGAGGAGAGGGTAACCCCAAATTTTCCTCCTTTCTAGTTTGCAAAGTTGATCCAGAAAACAAATGTGCTGAGTCTCCAAGGAAGAATGCTCCTTCAAAGATTCTCCTGGAGCAGTGAGCAAGAGAGGGGTCATTCTCACTGGGGCACAAAGCTAAGGCAGAGGCAGAAGGATTCCATATAGATGGCTCTGACACCTTATGGATCTGTCAAAATGCACAAAGGTGCATTTGTCAGGTTTGGAGTCAAAACCAGTTTATTTTATGGTGGGAAGGTGAAGAACCTTTTCCCCATCATTCCATGGTTAGGGAGATTCTCACGTGGGGATTCTTGAAGAGACTTCCTTTCCCATAATTCTCTTACTGCAAAAAAATGAGATCTGGTCCAAAAGCATCAAAATATTGTTGGACTCTTCCACCTGGCAACAGATGATAATTTTGCTCTCATTTTCATCAAGTGTCTGTCGCTCAGCAAAGGTTTAACATCGAAGTTGCTGGAGTGAAATCCACTGGATTTTTTTTTTACATAATATGCAATGTACTTCAGAGCATGTTATGAAATATTTCCTATCCAATTGGAACTAAACAATTATCAAAAATAACAGCGAACATTATGTGATACATCTTTCTTGATTTTTCAAGCATGTGTTTCCTCTTTGCACACTAATTTGCAAAACTTAGCCATTTGCCATGGGCCTCACAATCATTAGTCTAAATTGGCAAGACTCTACTGTAACAAATTACAACTACTGGAAAATACAGAATGGAGTCTAGATACACCAATTTATTTGGAGCTAAATAAGGTGAGTGAAAATGACTGAGCCTTAGTTATGTGTGGATATTTTATGAAAACAAGCCATGTAAATGAAATTTTATAATAACTGTTTACAAAAATCATCTATCTGTCCTCCTTTTCTGATTCTGCTCTCCTGACTGGAATCTCTCCTCTCTCTGTCTTTATCTACTCAGTAAAATCAACTCCATATCCTGTTCCTCGAGATGTTAACCTCTACATTTCTGCTGTCATTTTCCCTATAGTTTAACTCGATCCACTTCTCTTTTCCTTCAAATCCTTTTTTAAAACCCACCTTTCTACAACCCCTCTTACCTTCTTAACATCACTGATT